AAGTAAGAACAACCTAAACTTAACTTACTTACTACTAGTTGGTAGTAGTACAAGACAACAAACAATAGTAGTTACGTTTTAGTTTTAGTTTATTACTTGTATATATATATATATATATATATATATATATATATATATGGAAAAGTCTTCCTAACACCTATAGTAGAAAATGAATAGTGATTTCACCTACCCACATCACCGTCCAAGTTTCATCATGCTGTCACGATTGTCCGATAGTGTTTTATTTTTCATTTTTTTTTCATAAATCGGAATGACCTGAAATTTGGAGGGTATGTATATCTTACTAAGACGCATCTAGTAAAAATATAAAAAATTAAAACCGTGAGCACCATGTTCCTTCCATCTTCATTATCATCATCATAGCCTTTTCCCAATTAATGGGGGTCAGCTACACGAATCCCGGTCCACCATTCTGCTCTATTAAAGGCTATATCCTCAGTGAGGCTATAAGTCCCCATATATTTCCGAACTACTGTCAACCACGTCCTTTTGAGCCTACCCTTTGCCATTTTAAGTCGTTCCACTCGAACTAACTCGCACCTCCTAACAGGTGTTGTACTTGGTCGGTGCCACACATGGCTGGTGCACCTAAGTCTACTCGCTCTCATCTTATCGCCTATTGGTGCCACAACTAAATTCTTCCAAATAGATTCATTTCAAATTTTATCCCTTCTTCTCTTGCCACTCATCCACCTCAATATCCTCATCTTCGCTACACTCATTCGATGGGTATAGTTTTTTTTGTCCATCGAACATTCAGTCCCATAGAACAAGCTGGTCTCACCATTGTCCTATAAAACTTACCCTTCCACTTCATTGGTATGCGGCAATCACATAAAATTCCAGTTGCACATCTCCACTTCTCCCACCCAGCTCTAATTTTGTGTGCGACATCTTCCTCAATCTCTCTATTTTCCTGAATTATCAACCCAAGATATCGAACGTGCAAACTTTTTTGTATTTCCTGGTCGTCAATCTTAACTACTTCTTCGCCTCTACTCCTATTATTACTAAACTTGCATTCCATATACTCTGTCTTAGTCCGACTAATTTTAAAACCTTTGGATTCTAGAGCATCCCTCCAAAGTCCTACCTTGATGTTGATGTAATTTCGGATCTCATCAATCAAAATTGTCACCTGCGAACAACATGCACCACGGTACCTACCATGTTCCTTCCATATGCACCAATTAATAGCAATGAAATAAACCTCCATAAGATATGGCCTCTTCATGTGGGAAATGGCAATTTCCAACCCCTAAGTGCTAATCAAGAGATGCTAGTAGTTCGCTACAGGCTTAGGAGAAAGTGCCTTATACTCTTTGTAAAAACCATGGAAAGTCTTGAAGAGCAAATTATTAGACGTGCAAAATATTCAAGTGTCAAGAACCTACGGTAAACTGGATCCAAGTCCATGTTCTCAATCTTGGAACAAAATAGCCTCAGGTCCATGTTCTCAATCTTGGAACAAAATAGCCTCAGGTCCATGTTCTCAATCTTGGAACAAAATAGCCTCAGGTCCATGTTCTTAATCTTGGAACAAAATAGCCTCACCCATTACTGGCTACTAATTTTAAGCCTAGATAAAACTGAAGTAAAAAAACCAGTCCATGCAGCCTAGATGATCCCCACATAGTCATTCAGCAGCCAGTACGAACTACACAGTGCTAGTATGACCTGCCATTGAGAGGGAAAATAGCATAATGATGAAAGGGATGCAGCGAGATAATCAAATTTTAAAGAAAGGAGCATCAAAAGCCAAACAAGTATAAGGCTCTCCTGCCTTCTACATCAATAGTAAACGGAACTACCACAGTACATTAAAAACAAGTAACAGCCACCATGCATGATACACTATTATGACGAACATATTGGTAAAACACTGTCCAGAATGTATAATACATATTTCATTACCTTCACAATTGCTATTGCAGCAGACACAGGATCTCTAACTCCCAAAACGGTCCAAACAAGTGAGTTATCTGATCCAGCAGGAATAATACCAATTGGAATTGAAATACCTTCTTTTTGGTCACGTCTACCAAGTAAACCATTAAGAACCTACAATACCAGATAAATAAAGTGAACTTGTCATTCAAAGAAACTATCTCGTTTGTGCAAGCAGATTGCATCTCATTTACATCATAATATCAACAGAATAATAAACACGAACATATAGTAACTGAGTTTAAGATTAAATTCCAATTCAGGAATATTCAAGTCCATCATAAACAACACCATTGGTGTTATTGTTTGCTAAACAAAATATATATTCACAAAATTGAATATGAAGGTGCTATCAAATGAAAGCATAGAAAAAAATATTTTGCACCTGAGTCTCCAGTCATCATTCTATACAATAATAAACTATGCCCTCACAAATAAATAAATAAATAAGGAATTGTAGTGCTATGGAAAACTTTGACTGAGTAACCTTAGTCTAAATGTTTTGTTCTAGTTTCAGCCTTTTCTTTTGATGGGCCTTCCCTCTGCCTCTATCCAGAATCTGTTTCTTGGGATCGTTGAGAGTTAGCTAACCATAAGTCACACGTTAATTAGTATGATAATTAAGATATTAATTAACATTCAAAAATTAAAACTCTCATTAATTCATCATTATCATCATCATCCAAACCTTATCCCAACTATTTGGGGTTGGCTACCTGCATCATAACATATGAAATAATTAGAAGTACTGAGAGCCATGAATGCCCAGGGAAAGGGGGACCACCTTACCAGTTTCCAAACGGTAAGGGAAATGGATAATAGCATTCAAGTTTAGTGCCTTCACATGGATAGAATTGAGGGATAAGGTCTTGATCAGCTTGTTGACCAGATGGGCTTGTAACTGAGAACTAGTCTAGTTTCCCCTTGAACTGAATTTCGGAAAAAACCAATCAGAACAAGGATCATCTGGTCAGAATGGACATGTTTAATGGGAGTTGGCATCTGGTTTATAGTTACCAGAATTGTCCACCATAGGTAACAATTCCTGTTCGGAATCATGATTCCTCATTTCTATAAAGGAATCGTCACGGATCCCATTTCCTAGAAGTTAGGAATCACGATTCCACATTTTTTTAATCTCATTCAATTGTCTTTTGAATCTAGATTCCACCTCAACAAATTTTTCCATTCATAGGTGCATTAGACCATGATCCAACCAATACGATACCTCGCTTCCAATTTTTAGGAATAGCAATCAGAGATATTTGGAATCCAAATCCACTGCATCGAAATTATTACCAAAATTTAAGGAATGCTTGGAATTTTTAAACATTATTTGAATTTTTTTGTTATTTAAAATTAATAGTTGTTAATATTCAATGGCTATCTAAAACAGTATGGTTGTTGACTACTCTACTTTACATCATTCCTAAATTTTGAGAACTTGTAATAAATGTCTTATTTGTAAATATACATTGTTAAAAAAAAAACTAATTTTATTTCATTATTCAATCTAAAAACTATATGAAAATATTTAGTTAAGGGTAACTGACCTTGTTTCCAATACTTGTGATAAAGGGCAATCAATACTTTGACTTCAATGTTAGTGGAGGGTTGTCAAAGACATCGATTCCAATAATAAGGGAGCCCTGGGCAAGTGTACTCAATTTATGAAGTCCAATACTAACGTATTCAATTTATGGAGTCCAATACTAAGGAATTCTTGCTTATAAAAAATCTAAAACCTTAAATCATTAGCCTTTTGGAACTCCTTTCTTGATAATTTCTGGTCTGATTCCAAGTGATTTGGAGTGCGATCCAGTAAGTTAGGAATCTTGAATCCCAAGTTGATGGGACATTGGGACCACAATACCAACAAGGTAGGACTCTCAATTCCTATTGGATTATAGCGCCATTCCCAAATGCTAGGATCACACTTCATGTGATATACATTGTATGGATAACGATTCCAGTAATAGGAATCACCTGACCACCCACAATTCCGTGATTTCAATTCTTAAAATGATTCAGAATTATAGGCATTTCCAACAACTATAATTTAGTCAAATTGGACTGATTTAGTGAGAAATAGCTGGTTCTTACGCATGTCCTAGTTTCCTAGGTCATTTTCAGCTATCAAAATAGTAATCTTCAAAATCTCCTGGGCACTCGAAGAAATAATTTCAGTCTGAACACAACCGGTCCCAAACCCCCACCCCGCCCCACCCCCTCCAAAAATAAAAAAAAAGGAAAAGAAGAAAAACCAAGAAAAGCATTTTCTTTTTTTGGTTTTTGGGGTGGAGGAGCTTTAACAAAGGTTCCAAGCACCACTCTTTAAGAAAGAGATGCCATTTCTTATTTTTGAAATCCTCTTAGTTTTTCAAATATTTTAGTTTTAGAAAAAGTTTATATAAGGTCGCAACCTTATACTATAGAAGTAAGGAGCACCACAAAAATCCTATAAGAAAGAGTGTTCCGAAGTTAATTGATCATCTCAACCTCGAGATGTATTGATATAAAGAAAAAAGAAAAGAAGGGAATTTCAAGTCCTAAGATTATCATCATCATCAGAGCTTTTTACCAATTATTTGGGGTCGGCTAGGGTTTATGGAAAGTGTTGGTAAAGTTTTACATTGGCTACCTACCTAACGCAATCCATCTCCTTTACCTGGACTTGGGACAAGTTAAGAGAAAGTTTAAGGTCCTCACCCTTCTTAAACCAATCCTAAAAATAATACATCTTGAAACTAATTATCTAGACCATCTATTTTCAAGATTTTCAGGTGTTTATAGACTTGCTCGATCTGCACCACTTTTGGAATTCTAAATTTCATAATTAGAGTTGAACATGGATTTTCAAAGCCATCATAAAGTTTCCTACAACAAAACTCCATCTTCCGGTGAAATTTAGAGGAGCGCCTTACTTGTACAGTATAAGGTGGGCACTTTATACAAAGCTCACCCTTTAGTTATTGTTAATCACCATTCATTTTTCAGTGTGAGTCAATGTTTCAAAAAAAAACCGCCCAGCACCTAGGCGATCCAGAAGGCTTGAGTGCCTCCCCAAGACTAGGTGGCCAAATTAGACGGTCAGCCCTTGGGTGGCCGCATAGGGCCAACACCCCGCCCAGGGTCGAAAATGCCCCTTGTTGAGTTTTGGGTTTTTTTGAAAAAAAAAAGTTTTTAAAGGTGGGTTTTAGTTTTTATTCGACACCTAAACGCATTAGAGCCCATTTTAGAAAGAGAGAAACATCAAAAAAACTAGAATTTGTGATTTTCATTAGATCAAAGGATTTCTCAAAGTTACGAGAAATGGATCCAAACATCACCCACTGGTATTAGATTTAGTTTTGGAGTTTTCTTAGGCCTATTAGAGCGTGTTTTTAAACATTTTTGCACAAGAAAACATCTCAGAGGTGGAAGTTTGGAGATCGAGCAATCAATGTACAAAATTTTATTTTTTAGATTGCTTGTAGTATTTTGAGATGTCTTCTTCAGGATCTAGTTGAAGTAGTGATCCAGGTTGGAAATATAGATATAACTCGAATCCTTTAGATAAAAATTGCATAAGATGCAATTATTGTAAACATCTTGCCGGTATTAAGGGAAATGTTGCCCCTTGTATAAATATCCCTGAACCTATGACAGAGGACATTAACCAATATATGAGTTCAGTAAAACACAAACAGAAATAAAATCCTTGGCATTTGGATAAGTCTATGTTTGGTTCTGCCAAAAGAGGTGATCCGGGTTGGAAGTATGGTTATAATGCGAAACCAAACGATAAAAATTGTATAATACAGATTATGGACTATCTAAATTCTCCTCATTCATGAAAATATGGATTATGGATTATGTGTTATACAACATATTAGACACTTAGACTGTAGACATTTTTCTTTCTATTGGGCCGCCCAGGTTCTGGGCGTTCGCCTAGGCACTGAGTGTACGCCTAGGCACTGGGTGGCCTAAAACCCCCGACCGCCTAGCATTTTTTGAAACACTGGTGTGAGTTATCACTATTGTAGTGTTACACTCACGCATTAAAACCATTCTATATAAACTCCACTCTAGTGAGTACATGCAAGTGAGGAGGATTCGTAAGCCCTAGTCAAGATCTTGATAGTAGTCTAGTAGTCTTGGAACAAAATTTCCCAAAAACAAAGGATTCAAAGTTGGGACTTAATTATCCTAGTCCTTGGTACTAAAGCAATCAGTAAGAAAGTTTCTGATGCTTTCTTGTGAGACTTCGTTGAACATTGAAAATTCCTCTCATCTAACATAGACTCCACAAGGAAGAGGTTCAGTAGGATTTACTCATTTACATAGAACAATAGGGCTCGTATGGGGAGAACAAGGTCAAATGAGTGGAGCCCAATGAGAATCCTGAGCAATATTACCAGCCAGATTCACAGAAATTTGAGTTAACCACCTAGTACCTAGAAGAACTACGATGTTCTAATAATTTTCAAGAATTTTCAGAACAAATGACCAACTTGTGTAATTTTTTATGTCGTTCTCCTTTATATGAAAAACTTTTCCTTACACAGGTGAGTATTATTAAAAACAACTTTCGATTAAATAGGCATTAAATTTTTCCAATGTTTGGAAGCATCTATCAATAGAATTTTCAGGAAGGTCACTTAATCCATCTCCAGCCAACATTGACCTAAACAGTTCACTAAAAGCGAAATAATCGCAATAAGGAAGAAATTCCATAACACCTTAGTTCCCAACCTAGAAGGATAATCATAAAGCATACAAGGTGCATAACAAGTTCAAGTACAACATTCAAATGGTAAGATGTCGAAATTTTGATTTGAGAACATTGAGCTCATAACAGATGAAGAGAAGGTCTAACCTCATTCACAATTCCATCACCCCCGACACATATAATTCCTGTCAGAAAAGTGCAATTATGAAGAACAAAAAAGTCAAGCCATGTATAATGAATGGAAATGATGTGATGTCCTCCCAGATTGCATAAATTGGTGCTTCCCCAACTTTGAAAACCATTTTTGAGGCCTGTGAGGGGCCATAGAAGTTCCAAATTAACATCCTTCACTCCAAAAACAGTCTCATCCAATAAAAAAGAAAAAGAATTTGGTCCATAAAGATGCTTTAAATGCACCATAGTGCTAAAATAAGAGATTTGAATGTCCATATGGATGAATGGCAGATCTAGGGGACCTAAAAGCTTCTATGGTAATCCAGTTAAATATTATTTGGATGAGAATAAACTAGAAAATGTTTGAAGTGTTTTTAGGTCCCTCACATACCTCAAATGGTTTTTGAGGAAGGGGGAGCAACAATGGCTATACTCTCAGGAGAGCAGACCATTACTCCATAGAGAAACACTAAACCAAAGGGGGAATGAATGAGAACTACCATCAGGAAATTTACTGAAATCGGCAGTAGATGCCAGAGTTTGTGCATGACCTGCTGATTGGGTTTCAACCACTTCCATCCTGAAACCTGCAAGCTGCCATTGACAATGGAACAGGACGTCAATACTATCTCTTGAGCAATGATGCACAAAAACACAGACAAATCAGCAAATATTGAAATCCTGTTCAAGTTTACCACATCAGGAAAAGGTTCAGTGCTTTCTGATGCAAAACTTGACATGCATCTGTCAGTAGAAATGTCATTTTACTGCAAAAATTAACATTTGGCAGTGCTATTCAAAAACTTCGTCTATATATTCTGTGTTGTTTCATAATAATTAGATTCATATACTTCATCAAAAAAAAAAAAGATTCATATTAATTTTTCATCCCAAAAATCTGACAGGACGATGCCATTTGGTGCAGGTAGTGAGCATCACATAAATGAAAAAGAACAAGGATGCTCAATCAACATTGATGGATTAGGCAGCATATATAGTACAACTTTGGAGATCTGTGTAGGGCAAAATGCTCAATCAATATTGATGGATTAGGCAGCATATATAGTACAACTTTGGAGATCAGTGTAGGGTAAATTAGCAACCATGTGTATGCAGAACATAGAAGCAGTAAGAAAAACTTGAAAACACCAAAGAAGGAAATTTTATTTCACATATCAAGCACTTGCCAAAGTTCCCCACAATACAAGTCTACCAGTGGATGTGTAATTTATAAAGTGATAGCAGAACAGTAACTACAAAACTAAATAATGAAACCATTAAATTCAATTCACTACTTAATGGGGGAAGGTATCAGTTACAAAATTATGAAAGCGAAGATGCTTCCCTCCTGCAATTTATCGTTCCATTAAAAATTTTCTTTTTTTTTATAATTAACTCTTATTAACAAGGAAATAAGTATTAGAAGACATATATCCGAATCAAAAAACTGCGACAGGGAAAAGAGCCATGAAACTCAAACTCTCACTACTGACTCCTGCTATGGCTAGGCCTTCAACATGTATTAAGAAATTTCTACATTAAAAGCATTGCTTATTGTTGCTTTCTGTAATCAATAATTTTAAATTTTAATTCATTCTGAAATTCAAGAGAAGACCCCCAGGCACAATTTATCCCACCAGCCATATCCATACATATGAGAGGAACCATTGTTCTACCCTCTTAGAGAAACAAAAGGCTACAACAGCCCATACTTCTTAATTCTCCCCCCACCCCCCACACCCCAACCCCCCCCTCCTTGCAAGGACCTTATTCTGCCTTAATTACATCCAAAACTTGCTCTCATCATAATCATCTGGGCCAACCCCATCCAGAAATCACTCCAGTTATCCTTATCAATTTGCATTAAATGTAGAAAGAATCAAAAGACACATCCCAACATACGGATAACATCCAATTTAGAAGCCGTTACAAAATAGCCAGCATGCCAACAGAAGCTCACATTGTGCACTATAGATTCTAACAAACCAAGTGTTCAAGTGAAACCCACATTTTTCCTGTTTTCTGGGGACAATAAAAGTTTGCAAACAAAGTAACACCATGTTATATTGTCATCCTATGTTACACAGTGACAGTGACCAATACACATCAGAATAGTTCATGAAATAAGTAATTGAGATCACGAAAATAAGTAGAACATCAACCATTTGTTGCTGATGTGATTGTAAGAGTAAGCTTATATGAGAGGATGGGCTTTTGGGAGAGGTCAAGGAGGTGAATTGTAGCATGCATTACTAGCCATGGTTCTTAGTGATGATTAGATAGCTTTTTGTGAGGCTTCATTGGGTGTTCTAGGGGACCTGGACATGAAGACCATTTATCTCTCATCATTTTTACAATTGTGGCCAGGCCCTTAGTCACCTGCTGAATAAGGCAGTTAGTTCCCATATGACACAAAGATGTGGTGTTACACCAGCTGGCCCTTCATCTTCCATTTCCAATTTGCAGAATGTATGAAATAGAGCTACTCTGCTTAACTATGAAATGACCACTGGAATTTTTGTATGGACTAGTACAAAAATGACCAGTCGGGTCATCACAGCCTTCTCCATATGTAGTATGCACACAACCTCTGTCACCCTTCTTTCTCAGCGGAGGAGACGCAACTGAGAATCTGCCTCCGTCACACAAATGTACCTTAAGATCAGGAAATGGCCAAGGCCAGCACAACAACGTCTAAACATAAAACCTTCACAAGAATTTCATAAATGCTCCAACTGGGCTAATGGAATGGCAATCCCCTACCCTCGGCATTAAGAACTTTGGTATATGAGCCACAAATGTAGCATTCATCCATCTGTCAATAAGGATTTCTAACTAAGAATATCCAATACATTTGCCTGCCCCCATTTCTTTTTCTTGTCTTTATATTTCTGTACAACTCAGTACACCTTGATCTATGTACATCTCGAATGAAAATTCATTTGTAAGAAAGAGTACATGATGTAGCAATCATTTCTCTGGCAACCTTTGAAATTTTGTATGATTGACTATTGAAGTCATTTAAATAGCTATGTATTCTAATCAAGTATGGCTCAGTAATTGAGAGGTCTCTACTGAAATAATTACACTCATTTCATAGTTGTTAAAAGGGCAGCTAACCCAAATAATACAAATTTCTTCAAAGAAATCACACTCCTAACTTCTTAAGAGACATCAGAACTCAATTATTTGCAGTGATTTGAAATGATATGGAGGATACAAGATCAAGCCAGCTTTTACGTTCATTTTTCAGCATAATGGTGGCAAGGAGAGATCAGTTAGTACTATACCTGAAATTGATTTCTGATAATCAAATAATGAGCAAATTGGATGTAAAAGCATAGGGAAAGACATACTAGGGAGCAACCCCTAGCAGTTGCAACCCCTGGCAGTCAAGTCCAAGGAATTGCTACCATTCATCAGGATCGTTGTTAAAACAAGACTTAACCAGGAGAAGGAAATATTTTAATAGAGTTCCCATATCTATCAAAACCTTACCACAAAGTGTACAACATCAAGAGTAAAATTACTGCTTGGTGCTCCTTAATAACTTTATGCATGGTTTGATACTTGAAATTTTGGATGGAAAATCTAATGGTAGAACAGAAAAAAGCATATGAGACACACATAATACAACTGACCTTGAATATTGGTTCCACCTCGTGGCGAAAAACTTTACTGGAACGGCCACGCCCAGACCGTGGATTTAGTATCACAAGAACTGTTGGTGGGGTTTTGCATTTTATAGGTTGCTCAAGTGGAAAATCGCTCCCAATTATGTTCGATCCATGCCTCTTGGAAGCCATTAAGGGATGTGGTGAACAATTAACAAAGCACTGTTGATTTGCAAATTGGGCAACCCAACTAAGGGCTTCATCTGGATTAGAAGCCAAAAATCGGTAGTCTTTCCGAATTCTTTGAGGCTTCATAATGCATGCAAGAACACATGGTATCCTTTTCAAGGGATACGAATGCACGGTGAAATGTCTCACTCCATCACTATAAGAGACCTGCCAAAGATAGTGACATGAAATACATTATCGTCATTAACCCAATCAAAAATTAATGAAGCACAAGAACAGCATGAAGAATGCAATGGAACTCACAGAAATTACATCCGCAAGATACAACGTGTGAGACCCCCAGACCAACGCTTTGCTTGTAAGTGTTGCATCAACCCCATCTTTTTTGGTGCCTTCCTCTGAAGTTTGGACATCAGCAGTTGAACAGGAAGATTTCTTGTCAAGAATGAGTTTTCCAGAAAACACCACATCACCTAATAAGTCAGATTTTTCGTCCCCTATGTCAATCCTATGCTCTTGGACCTTAAGATTTTCAGGTTCTTCATTTACTATGTTTGCCTCAATCGATTTTGAAGACTTCACCCTGCCACGTCTTTCTGGAAACACAGTTGGGGATGAATGCCCAACTGCCAATTGAGGAGATCTACTACCCGAATGACGAGACTTATGAGACAACACTCTCAAGGGATTGACATTTTTGGAGAGAGACCCAGTCTTCTGCATCTCTGCCTAATAGAAAAGACTTCCAAAACAGATCAAAATCACGGGAAGACTCAGATGTATTTTTACAAGAATTGCCGTGAAGATGGATAATAAATGAGGAATCTAGCATAATCATTACCCACCCTGCAAAACAAAAAACTTACAACCATCATATTTTAACACTAAATGGTGTGAGCATAAGTCTCTTTTTTTTTTTGTAAGCATAAAATTTTGTAAACGCAAATTAACAGGTAATATTGTTAAAGAAAATTGTCGCACATAGAACTAGAGTTGGGTTGGCACATGGGAGATATGTTCCGGAGTTTTATACGATCGTCACATACTAATGAAACGAAAGGGAAAGTTCTATACGACGGCTATAAGACCAGCCATGCTTTATAGGACAGATGTGGGGCAATTAAGAAACAACATATCCATAGAATGAGTGTAGATGAGATGAGGATGTTAAGATGGTTGACTGGCAAGATAAGAAAGAATATAATTCGAAATGAATACATCCAGAGAAACTTAAGGGTAGCTCCAATGGACAATAAGATGAGGGAAAGTAAACTTAGGTGGGCTGGCCATGTCCAACATTGGCCTAAAACAACACCAGTTAAGAGGGGAATTTGGTTCAAGTGGAAGGCTCTTAAAGGTTAAGGGGAAGGCCTAAAAGGAACGGATGGAAGTAGTGAGAAGAGATATGGTGACTTATAGTGTGATTGAGGGTATCGCCCTTGATAGAGTGGAATGGCGGAACATGATTTGTGTAACTGACCCCAAATAGTTGAGATAAGGCTCGAATGATCATGATTGCTAAGTAGTTGGAAGAGGCAAGCACAAAAATGTGAACAAGAGAATAAAGACAACCATTGTGATTATGTGGAGAGCCATTGTACTAGACAATCAGTGGAGACCACAAACAATGACAGCAGAAATCCATATTGTTATGGTTGAAGATCGGGTTTAAAGACCCAGAATCAGGTTTTGGATCAGCCCTCCACTATATCAATCCAAGTCAGCAGATCCCATCTAGATCAACGCATTCTCCAGGGTCAAAAATATTAAACTATTGAAAAAATAATAATAGTAAAATTTTCAATTCAAGGAACCACCTGATTCAACAGATCCCAGTAGGGCAATCGCAATTTGAATTGCCTAAGTCTTTGATAGAATTAGGCGACCGATTACTGATTTTGTAAGGGTATTGACATGGGTACCTACCAATTCCAACCTGGACCAACGATTCTCAATTGGATCTAATTTTTCAAAACCCTGTTTAAACTGTGGGACCTTCATACTAATTTCTCCAAAAGAATGGTCAGCAAAGAAGAAACGGAAAATTAGTATCTTGTAATGCAATGAAGGGTGGAATACATGTAGAGGCTTGACACTGCTTTTCAGTATGGTTGAACGGAGCTTTTCATACTAAAGAATGATTTTAGATTTGCGGTTTCTATTCACAATAAACTTCAATTTAATATAAACCCCTTAATGCATATTTAAACCCTATTTTTCAAGTGCATGCCATTGTAATCCTGAATCTGTGAAAAGGAATTTTTTTTAAATTATTATTACTGATTTAATTATCTTTGATGTTTTACTTTTTCTTTTTTCAGCATAAGAAAAAATTAGAACTGACTTTTATTGATTCTAATAAAATAATAAGTACGCAAATATTACTTTCAGTACAAGAAAAATAAGAACACCAAATGGAATAATAAATAAGAACAATACATAATATAATGATTTTGATGAAAATAAAATTTGATAAAATTAAAATTTTATTATTTTTTAAGACTTTACACTATTCTTTCATCCACCACAGAGATTGTATAGTTAGTTTTTTTATTTTCCCAAATCTATGCTAGTTCTTTCTCATATTTGTTTTGATCTCTCCAATGCTAATACTTGATTGCATTAAGATGCTTAACTCCATTCTTCTACATTTGCTGGTCTCTCTAACTGATAATGGGTACTGATTATCAAGTGCATGCCATTGTAATCCTGAATCTGTGGAAAGGAATTTTTTTTAAATTATTATTACTGATTTAATTATCTTTGATGTTTTACTTTTTCTTTTTTCAGCATAAGAAAAAATTAGAACTGACTTTTATTGATTCTAATAAAATAATAAGTACGCAAATATTACTTTCAGTACAAGAAAAATAAGAACACAAAATGGAATAATAAATAAGAACAATACATAATATAATGATTTTGATGAAAATAAATTTGATAAAATTAAAATTTTATTATTTTTTAAGACTTTACACTATTCTTTCATCCACCACAGAGATTGTATAGTTAGTTTTTTTATTTTCCCAAATCTATGCTAGTTCTTTCTCATATTTGTTTTGATCTCTCCAATGCTAATACTTGGTTGCATTAAGATGCTTAACTCCATTCTTCTACATTTGCTGGTCTCTCTAACTGATAATGGGTACTGATTATGATCATTTTCATCAATCCATGCATTGTTTTGGTCTTGGAAATTTGATAAGTTCAAGTATTTTCGTATGACAAAATATTATATTACTCATTAGATTGGATGAGACAGTCCCAAACATGCTCTACAATTTTATATTTTTATACTGAATATATGCTGTCTCTGCACCCCTGATAATGGGGCATTGATTTTGTTCATTTTCATTATTCTATGCATTATTTTGGTCAATCCCATAGATCCAAGAATTTTTTTTATATTAAATTTTTAGATTATGTATGAGATTGGATGATACATTCAAACAGTAGCTCAAGTTTCAAGACGAGGGTATCCCCCCATCGTTTTTGCTATCATAGTCTATACTCAACATGAATTTAGTATTCAAATAGAGTAGAGTTTTATTCAGGTACATGACACCTATCCAAAGAGAATAACCTGCCCTCACCTAAAGATCATACGCATACTAATTCATGGCCTTAATCACGAGTTGGCTCAAGGCGAACCTAGTAATCAAATCAAATGGGCTAAGTTTTGAATTTATTGTAGTTATGATAAAAACTAGTCAACTTCTACATACCATGCGATGCCATTTATACACGAGTGTATCTTTCAAAACTTGCTCAGTTCCTTCCAACTTCTCCTGCAGGTTACAAATAGGCCCCTCAATTGTACCTTGACAACGACCACAGTTGGGGGGCCTTCATTCCTTCACTCAAAATCCATCGAAAACTTCAGCAGATTTTAATCAGAATCTTAGGCATTCTAACGAATTTTACAAAGGAAATAAGGAGACCGAGCACACATTATAAGAGAGAAGAAGAAGAATTACGTAATCATGCCTCTATGTTTACAAAAGAGTGCACTATTATGGATGGGCTCTTACCAAGAAAATCTAATTAAGTCAAATACGATATGATGGAAAACTTCAACCATTTTTTAGTGATGTGAAGCGATTAGTCTACCATGATGGGCTATGATTTTAAAATAGCATTTGTTGAACAAATATCAACCTCTCGTTGATTAATTGTTCAATGAACAGTTAAAGTTAGCTAATATCCATATTCCCAGTTTCCATTTCCAAATTCCCGAATTTACTCAAACTCCAGGAATCCATACCAGTTCTCAAGCAAGGGAGAGAGATTTGTTGATTCGATATCTCCAAAAACTCCAGTTTCTAAGATACAAGATTTTCGGACCCAATTGTCAAACATTCTATGGGTCATGACAAAATACGCATATCAATGAACAGTTAAAACTAGCTAATATCCATATTCCCAAGATTCCAAATTCCCAAATTTACTCAATATTTTCAGACCCCAATGTCAAACATTCTATGGGTCATGACCCAATATGCATACTAATTTCAGAATTTTGGAAAGTGACCTCCGTAACTCTAATAGAAACCTCTGCAGAATTCACCATCATTCCAATTTCCAAGATGGTAAATAGGGATGATTTCAAAGTTCACCCTTCGTCCTTAGGGGTGAGAATGGATTGAGTTGGGTCAAGGTCAGGCCTGACTTGGACTCAACAAGGTGAGAGCTCAGACCAGATCAATTGGACCCAAAACAAACCAGAGGGGTCAGGTGAGTGTAGGTCAATATATATATATATATATATATAGGAAATGATATCATGTCACCATGCCATTATAATATAATAAATCCACACTTCTAGAAAACCATGTTTATGGTATTTGTATGACCCAAAATTTTGCACATACACTCTCTTCATCTCAATAATCAATCTCAAAAAAAAAATTTAATTTTCACCCTTACATGGTCAAAATGAGTCCCCTCCAACAATGAATCTAGACCGTCCATTTGGTGAATTTCAAGATCTAGGTATCAATTTTTTCTTTTTCAATGATGTTACTCTAATGATAATAAAGTTATCTAAAACATTTAGAAAGAAAAAAGTTCCTTCTAAGGCCTAGATCTAAGTATCTCACTAAAATGGATGGCCTATGTTAATTGGGCTAAAAAATACTTTCTAGGTTGTGTTTTCAAATTTTTCTTTTTTTGTGATTGTTCATTAGAATGAAAAGAATGTATATTTTTAAATTTGGGTCAAACAAATGGCCCTAACATGATTTTTGAAGATTGTTTCATTATATTACTG